CACACACACACACACACACACACACACACACACACACACACACACACACACACACACAGGCTGTTTTTGTCTCCGAGGATTTTTCTTGGCTCTTTGCCGTTCGGAGAAAAAATCCTGGAGGCTGAGCGATGCTTCTGATATCTGTGCAGCGCCGCTTGTTGCTGTTTCTGTTGGTCAGGTTGACTGTTGCTTCTTCCTTTACTGTTTCTGCAGAGCATAATCTCAAAACAATCTTTATTTGTGCTGGTGTTTTCCAACAAATGGCTTTTTGAAGTAGATGCGCGTACAAAGACTCACAAGAGGGCAGACCAGATATTCTGCACATTTATTAGTCTCATAAAAATATCAAACTAAGTCACCTCTTATGCATCAGCTGGGTGTTTTCAATAAAGCCCCGTGATAACACCTGGTTCATGGTGCAGGTAGAGGTGTTATCTTGTCTGATCCAATGCCTTAACCCAGACACAGACTCATCTAAACTCAAATCTGGATCCATGAGCATCTTTAGAGTTCTCTTACAAATTCTATGAAAATAAGTAGTTTTTTAGGACGTAACCTTAAAAACAGAGTTTAGTCAGCATCTTCAGTAAAAATGATGAAAAACCCTCTCTTAATCAAAGCTGTGTCCACACTGGACGCGACCAGAAGTGACCATAGTGATAACCGCTGGTGACAGTAAGTGGGCAGGGCCCAAGAGAAACTTTTCTCAGTTTCCAGGCGAGCAACTGAAGAGACCAATAAGAGTGAAGAACACTATTAGTCGACATGTGGCCTGGTGGTATATACATTAGAGGATCGCCTAATTAGCTGAAGCCTGAAATGTTGCAAGTGATCGGCCACCAGCTTCAAAGCGATGCGTGAGCAGCCCACTGCTTCCAGTCTGGACGCAGCAATGGGACGCAGGTTTAAGCTCAACTCATACAGTGTAATTAACCGCGTTTACATGTTTGTGAAGGCAGGCTGTGCGAAGTCAGTGCAGCTGTCACTGATGTTAACTCAGCCAAAGAGGTTTTGTAAAAAGTTCAGTTTTGGCACAATGAAAATTGTGCCAGAGGTGATGATTGGGTCGACGTTCGATCTGGATCTGCATTCAGGATTTTTTTTTTTTCATCACTGTGAGGACTGTGGATATTTCCCATCCTATCTGAAACTGAAAATTTGTCAAGTGGTTTTATTGTCATTCCAACCATGTGCAGCGGGTACAGTGCAAAGTGAAATGAGACAATATTCCTCCAACACCATGGTGCTAAATATGACATACAACAAACAATATAACAGACAATCAACACAGGACTACATAAAGTGCAATATACAAAAAATATACAAAAAATACAAAGAATAGCAAACCAAAAAAACAAAGACTGCAAGACACAAACACAATAGTGCAATAGAAATGTGCAAAAAGTCACTTTTAGGTTCTTTATCCATGCATTGGTCTTGTTTTCCACAAACACAAAACTTTAAACACACACATTCTGATCCTGCCTTTAACTCCTAAAGTTTCCTGGACTTAAAAAGACTCTTTAACCAGTGTCTGAAGGACTGATTATAAAGGCGTTAAGTTTGACTGCTCACATTTTGTTTGTCTCATGAAGAGGCTCCTCGTGGCTTTTTTTTTTTTTTTTTTTTTTTTAATATTAGCAAGTCTTAACCTTAATTAATGTTAATTTTGTTTTTTTGTTTTTAACATGAGCTCCAGATATAAGGGCCACACTTACACCACCTGCTGGTTAGTACAGTTTTGGTGATAATAGGATAGTTTTGGACAGTCTGTTGCTGAAATACAGAGTGACCACTTCATTAGTGCACAAAAAAAATCAATCAGAGTTCACCTGTGATGATGACTGTAAGGTTTTTGTTATTGGGTAAATACATCAAATCTTAAGATACTTGGGGTCTTAGTCATGACATTACATTACATAACATAAAGAGCCATTTCTTAAAAGAAGGAACCAAAAGGAGAAGTCTTTGCAGAGGACTGGTTCATATTGGAGAACATGTGTATGCAAGGTACGTGTCGGAAAAATGCAACTGAAAATGATTTTGGTTAAATCAGATTCAAAAACTTTTTTAAA